TTTTTTTTTTTTTTTTTTTTTTTTTTGGGGGGGGGGGGGGGTGGCAAAAAGGCATTTATCCATAATAGCCCTGGATTATGAAGAAAGTCACCTGGCTTCAGCCAAGCAAATTTAGTTGCTTTTTCATACCAAGCTTTTATGTAATGGGGGGGGGGTCATTTTTCCTCCTCAGGTTCAGCCGGTCACTTCTGAAATAGCATAATGGCTGATTTTAGCAAACAGAAAGGGGCCGAGTTCCTGCAGACTTATAAGTGCACTCATATTACAATGCTCAACTAACTAGCCAGTACAGCTTATGGGCGAAAATTCTGTGACACACATTACAACCACGTAACCCTTTAAGGAGGAAATATATGCCATGCTGCATCACAGTCGACCAGATCCCCCTGAACAGCAACCCTTTTTGCCCGTATTATTTCACTATAATTTAATTTTCAATGAAAGGCACATAAAATGTCATTGCATTTTTCCCCAGAATGTACTGTTTAATAACACCGGCCATTATCCCAGGATACTGATTTATACTGAAAGTATTGCAAGTAATCCCAAATAGCTTTAGGAACATTAACCACCTAACTGTTATATTACCGCTTAATATTGCCTTTAATGCAAAGGTAATTATTTAATTTTATCGTGATTCCTTCCAAGCGTAAATGTGTCGGATATACTCTTACCTTTCCGAGATGGGGTGATGAACTGGTTTTACTCCCAGACTGGGCCATGAAGCAGTAATGAAGCGAGCTGTGCATGGAGGATGAGGTGACCTGGCTGCTGGACCTCATCCAGCCGAGTAACATGCCAATCACAGTGCCTGATGGGCCTCTGAAAGCTGCCGCCGCTGCAGACCTCAGAGGTGCAGCTGGAAGCAGCGCGACTCGCAGAAAGCTAACCAGCAGCCGCCTCCCTGATGCTAATGTGCAGCTCGGCTAATGTAAACTCATAAATTCCTCTCTACACAACAAGTAACCCCCGTTTGTCTGGAAATGGTGGAACCATGGATGTTTGTGATGAGTTTATTAGTAGTGGAAATAAAGAGATCTGCCTGAAGCCCGGGAAAACTGGGAAAATACAGGCATTGCAAGGAAACACATGGACCGAGCCACCACATCAGATGACATGAAAGCCCACGTCCATCAAAAAAAATAGCTGGATGGGTAGCCTCAGGTAGGCTTGGGCAGGCTTGGGAATCCTCAGGTAGCCTTGGGAGACCTTGGGTAACCTTGGGAAGCCTCGGGTAGCCTTAGGAGACCTTGGGTAACCTTGGGAAGCCTCAGGTAGCCTTGGGAGACCTTGGGTAACCTTGGGAAGCCTCGGGTAGCCTTAGGAGACCTTGGGTAACCTTGGGAAGCCTCAGGTAGCCTTGGGAGACCTTGGGTAACCTTGGGAAGCCTCGGGTACCATCAGGTAGCCTTGGGTGATTTCGAGGAGCCTTAGGCAGCCTTAACAAGCATCAGGTACCCTCAGATAGCCACCAGTAACCTGAGGTAACCGCATATCCTGGCATAGCCTCTGGTAACCTTGTGTAATCTCGGGTAGCTTTGGGGATCCTCAGGTAACCATGGATAACCTCGAGGAGCCTCAGGTAGCCTCGGGAGCTCTGGGTAACCTTGGGTAGCCTCAGAATTTATTCAAATGAAGTTAACAGGAGTTAGACAGTAATTCTGTCTCTGACTACCGAAATATGTATGAGTTGTGCTTTTTAATTTAAACTCAGTGTTTTTCCCCTCTCAGTTTTAAAGAGTCACTGTTGTATATGTTTCTCTCAATTTAATTAAGTACCGCATCTCATGTTCAGTGACAGTTCTGTGCACCCCGGCTGTAGTGTGATGCTTAAATACTAATGACTATAATGCTTACATATATGGACTGTATGTTTTTTCCTTTGTTTTTCACTGGCCTAGTTCATTTTGGTATAATAATGTGCATCACGCCTGCAGCGGCTGTTAAAGATCATCGCAAGCATCAGTATCCTCCTCGCTTCCAGCCACATTGCTCCTATTATCCTCCTGGGGTTCTGCCGGGTTACAGAGAGTTAGAGAGGCAGGGGCTGTGGTTAGAGAGGTGGGGGGGTGCGGTTTAGAGACGTGCTGATCATGGGCAGGGAAATGGCGCGGTTAGGGAGGTAGGGGTCATGGTTAGGGGGGCTGCAGTGTGGGGGGTGCAGTTAGAGAGGTGAGGGGTATGGGCTGGGACACCTTATATTTTAATGCTAGATGATGAAAATATGCTTAATGGCCTGTACTTTCCATTTTTGTAACTTGAAAACACATTAAGGATCCAAATATCAGTTTAGCCTGTGATTAACAGGAAGTCTTCTATAAACAGGGATAGCATCTTATCCTCTGTCCTCAGTCAGTGGGTGCTTGGTCACGTGTCTTAGGACAAAATGAATAACAAATGCATATTTTTATTATTAATAGGTTACATTGGAACCGAAAGATTTTTTTCATTATAATAATTGTGAATCAAAAACAAGTAGCATAAAAATATAGCTTAATGGAATATTTAATGAAGTGTTTGTCCTGGACGACTGTAATGTGCCCAGATGGGGTGTCATCTACATGGCAGGATAAACCAGCTTGAGATGATTGAAATCAGATGCTTCAGAACCCCTCTGATTCCACTGTGAGCTCACAGTGTATGTTTGTGCTGTGGGAAGGAGGTCTGTCTTATATCGGAGCTTAGCTGCGCTCCTTATCAGACACGTGTTATTACATTATTACCCAAATGCAACTGGATTCAACTGGCTTCATAAACAGAAGCAGGCAAATGGGAGGACAGCGGATACAGCTGCAGAGGGTCGAGGACATTTAAACCTCCCTTCAGGGGGTTTAGGAGGGGGCAGGATATCCACCTGACACACAGGGATCAGTGAATGTTGGTGGGGTCACAAGACACAGTGTAGCGTACATCCAGAAAATTTGTGTCAAGGTCCCCATCAGAAGAAGCATAATGTGCCCTGATCTTACACCCACCTATTAATGTCAACATACTGTATTCATTATCCTCAGACATTCACTCATCTTTAAGGAGCTGTTTCGCTGGCCTCCTTTTCTAAGATGATGTAATCTGTAGTGAACAGCTGTCACGCAGAGGCACTGTAACCGCGTTAGAGCGACATGTAGGATGCGGATGTGCCATGCGGACGGGTGAATAGCACTGATGGACACATTTCGCCTCGGGCTGCGCTGCTGTTATGCTCTAAGGGGTAAAGCACCACTTCAGGACGCGCTGTGTCACACGCTGACGACTTTTATATGCACACTGTGTTGTGTTAGACAGTGGAAATTATAGACTGAAAGATAATGCTCTGTTTGTATTTTCATTTTGATCCTTCGCATGAGCATTTATCCAGAGCTATTTATGTTCAGCGGTTTTCTTCAATAGTGCCGTTGGGTATATATTGGAGCCCTTCAGGTTTAGCACCATATGAGACGTAATCACAGGGCTCTTGTTGAAGCTGTGGCCCCTCGATCGTGAGTGCCCCCCAAAACCCGGCTTTTCTTGATTTGTTTTGCTGGCTGTTCCACTTAAAATTGGAGAGGACTGATGGTGAAGAGACGATTACATGACCAGGTTGTCTGACCAACTAAATCAGTCAGTAACAATAGACTCTATTCTTTGCAGTTCAGAGATGTAGTCTGCATAATGGGAGATGCAGAGGTGGGTAATTCAGGTCCACGGAGTCAAAGTCCAGACCAAGATTTTGTTTCAACCACCCAGTTGAGTACTAAGAGTCAGTCACAGGCAACTCAACTGTTTTGAACTTTGACACTCTGGACCTGAATTACCCACCTCTTGGGAAATGGATAAAAAATGTATTAAACTATTATGTAAATGCAGTGATCGTAGGTTATTTAGCCCACCATGTAATCTCACCACCAGACAAATGACGAAACTGAATGTGAAAGGTTAAGTCATCTATTTGGCAGCTTTCACTGTTTCACTGGTCGGCACACACCCCTCTCCATCCCACCTTGGCTCTGCGTTTTTACCATTGTACAGCTGTAGAGTTTGTACAGTTTTTATTTTATTTTTTTTAATCCCCCATATTAATGTGTTGTAGCCAGGTTGACGTATAATTGCTTGTCAAAATGAATGTGTTCATGCAAGAATCTCTGTGCTGATCATAGATATTTTGGGGGCAGCTTTCCATGTATGAGCACTAAAAAAAGTAGAAGTAAAAAAAAAAAAAAAATGACGCTGTATATACATGAATTAGCCTCATATGCTTTATGGTTTGTTTTCTGGACATCTTGGGCTACTCAGGTGTGTCATAATTTTGATGTGTAAATGCTGACACAGTCTTAATGCCATACTTTTTATTGAAATTTCTCATTTTTTAGTCTCACCTAATATAAAAATTTGTAGACGCTTCAAATATAATCTTTTAAGATTATAATAATCTTAATGTTGAGATTAGAGTCTCTATGATGTGGGAATCTAGGGGTTTCATTGGGGATCTTTCTATGGCTTAGTATTGTGAAGGATTACATAGCGCCAGGCGGAAATGAATATCTTTGATTTTGCATCCATTTGGTAAGTTGTTGAAGTTATCTGATAGACACTGGCATGGTTTTATATATATTTTGTATTACTTTGTAATATCTGAAAGAAGTTGAAATGAAAAAGCATTGCCTAGTTTATGATCTACTAGATAAACACAAACATAAAAGACGGTTTTAGAATCTAATGCTGAATGTTTATTGCTACCATTTTTCTGCCTACAGTATATAAGCTGATTGGTAAATTGAAATTTGAGAATGAAACTTTTAATCGGCATTTAATCTTCAAAGAACAAACCAACACTGTAGCAGGTCATTGAGTTTACGTGTAAGAGTTGTTCCACGTATGATGGGTGCTTTCTGTTTCAACTGCAATATACAAACATACCTATACAGACTTTTGTGATTATTACAGAAAACAGAGAAATTGTTTCCCTAATAAACTGAATGCTGCATTTTGTTGTTCTTTCTAGTGGAACTCCAGCCAATTTTTGAGTGTTTTTCAGTTCCTTTATAGGTTTATAATAAATAACATAATTTTTTTTTTCTTCCCCCAGAAGGGTAGTACGTCAATCCTTGCGGGAGTGAATATGGGCTTTGTTTCCTGTCTAATGTGAATAATATCAGTGTTTTATGGATTATTGGGGGTGCATTTTGGTGGAAAGTGTTTAAAATATATGCATCATGGTGCACGGGATTAGTCTGGAATACTTCAGCGCACAGCATTGTCGCTTGGACAGATTGAGGAAGTTCTCTCGATTCCATCGATATGCAATTCATGTCTGTACGTTATACCTATCCAAAGTTATGAGTCTGATATTAATGGGTGCCAAGATAAATGCATTTTGCATTTGTCATGTTCTATGGGTTAAAGAGCAAACAGGTTTGGGGGTGGGGCTTGTGGTGACGTGTTATATAGCTGACAGTGTCCCCTGCAGGTAAGCCCACCTGCCGCTGTGCCCTGGGATTCACGGGACCGTACTGCGAGAGGCGAGTCTGTGAAAACTACTGTCTCAACGGGGGCACCTGCGACGTGAGCCAAGGCAACCAGCCCGTGTGCCGATGCTTGGCTGAGTACACCGGCGACCGCTGTCTGCACCGTGAGTCCCAGAATGCACCCGTCTACACTGCCTCACTGCAGAAGTCACAGCGCTGGCAAGCAGACAGACTGGTTATGTGGTTGGTTGATTTGGATTGATTGATTGATTGTTGGTTAGTTGCTTGGTTGGTCATATAACCTTCCCCCACTGGTATCTACAGCAGTACGAATGCAGGACCAATGACTGAGAAAACGTTTTCCATCTTAACCCTCTTTTCCACATCAGAATCCAACATGCTTCCTTTAAATCTTATTCATGAGTCACGCCTAGAGTGACGATGAGCTATTTTTGTTTTCTTTTTTTTTTTGTGACATCTTTGCCCGTCTGTCGCTTTGTAATGTGTGATGACTTGCGTTGCTCAGGGTTTGACGAGTAGCTTGTTCTCAGCGTGGAGCATGCATCCATAAGCGTGGCACTCAGTCAGCAGTGCACAGGGCCGGGGTACACCTTAGATAGCATGCCACTTCACCACAGTTAACACTAACTCACAGTCACACCCCAGAGGAAATTTACAGATGCCAGATATTTTAACTGCATGCCTTTGGACCTCGGAATTCCTGCAGGGAACCCCCACTACATGGGAAAACTGGCAAAATCCACACTCAGAGAGCAGCAGTGGGACCCCAGCTCCCATTCCTAGAGATCTGAGGCAACAGTGCAGCCCACTGAGCCTCATGCAGTCCAAGAGAGTAATCTTTGAGGATCCACAGTGTGTTTCTGCCTATTGTTAGCTCTTGGTCTGCTCACTAAGCGGCTGACCTTTCTCGTCAGATTAATGCCTTTCTGAAGCTTTTTCTGCTTAGTCTGCAGCAAAGAACACAACTTCTTTTTGCCTTTCTGTGATTTTTTACTGTAATGTTACCCTTTTGCCATAGTTGTTTACACTTTGCAATTGTAATTGGATAATACTGTAATTTCTGCTTGAAACTATTAATGTCATTACATTATTAAACACCCTGGGCTGTTGATGTAATGCATTAGACGTCAATAATTAAGTAGCATTATCTTTATGTAAAACTCCAATTAACGCATCACAATACCAAACGCACCTTCAGGGTGTGATGGGTCACTGACATGCTTTGCATTCTGGGACAGACATCTGCCACCACTACTGCGTGAACTCCAAGGCATGCACGCTGTCCAGCAATGGCCATGTCGAGTGTGTCTGCCCGACGCGCTATGAAGGCAACCGGTGCGAGGTTGACAAGTGTCTACGTTGCCATGGCGCCCCCTGCGTTGTTGACCATGACACCGGCGATGTGGCCTGCAAGTAAGTGATCCACGATTAAGCTACACCGCTCCTGGTTCTCTTCATATGAGCAGCGGGGCATTGGTTGTTTCTGAGCCCCCATTCAAAAACTCTCCAACCCCTCCTCAGATGTTTCAACAATGAAATATTAGATAAATAATAGCTAGTGAGTAGAGTCAGAAGATCATGGCTAGCTAGCTGATTAGCAATATATTCTGCTTCAGCATCTCCTAAATAAGCAACAGGTTTATTTAATCTTTGGTGTAGTTACTGTTTGTGGCCCTAAATATCGGGGGCCCCATGCAAATGAGGGGTTTGAGAGGTGATAAATAGTGCCACTTACTGTGAGTTCCTCGAACCCCGGAATGCAGTCTGCGGTTTGGTGTGCAGGATTGCTCACATCACCACTTTGTCCAACACACTATCTGTATGTAAGTATTATGGAGTACATCACTGTAGTGGGGTGATGTCATTTCCTGCCTGGATTACTGTCTCTGCTTGTTGAGTGTGGGAGATCCCATTTATACTCACTGTGTTTGGTTTTATTTGGTTAAGAGCCAGAAGATGTCATGCAGAAATGCAGTTTATGCCCTAATGCCCCTACTATATTTTACTAAAAAAGAATGAAAAATATTGAATTTCATGTGGAACATGATAAAGAAGGCGAAAAATGATTCATGGATCAACACCCTTTTCTGTCATTTTTAGAACAAAGTCATGAACAAAGAGGTCCCTGCAGGTGCTCCTGCACTGAGCTATGTAGAAGGTAATGCTCTTCCTCCCCCTGCTCCTCTGTCTCCTTCCAGCTGCACTCACGGCCGAGTAGCGTCAAGCTGTCAGTTGTGTGATGGTTACTGCTACAACGGCGGTACCTGTCACCTGGACTCGGAGACCCACCTGCCGTTCTGTCAGTGAGTAAATTACTCTGCCGGATTCCCTGTGCTTGCATTTCTTCTCCCTTGGAGCACACCCGTCACTGGTCCTTTAGTGTAATTTCTGCAGTTACTTTTGAAACAGCATACAGGAGCTTTAAGGTTAGCCGGGGGCAGGAGGGAGGAGACAGTGGCACACGGTGTTGTGTGGGTCAGAGTGTACCAGGTACCTTCACAGGGATCAAAGTAGTAATTAAAGCCCTAAAACAGTTTTTTTTTCTGAGGGCCATGTCAAACCAGACAACAAAAACAGGGACTTCCTGTAGGTCCCCCATAAGGGAATGCGGTAATGCTCCATTGCACACAAACAGGGATTTCCTGTAGGTCACCTGTGAAGGAATGTGGTAATGCTCCAATTCACACAAACAGGGATTTCCTGTAGGTCACCCATGAGGGAATGCAGTAATGCTCCAAAACACATAGACAGGGATTTCCTGTAGATCCCCCATAAGGGACCGCAGTAATGTTCCCAAGCACACAAACAGGGATTTCCTGTAGATCCCCCATATAGGACCACGGCAATGCTCCAATGCACACAAACAGGGATTTCCTGTAGATCCCCCATAAAGGACCACGGCAATGCTCCAATGCACACAAACAGGGATTTCCTGTAGATCCCCCATAAAGGACCACGGCAATGCTCCAATGCACACAAACAGGGATTTCCTGTAGATCCCCCATAAAGAACCGCGGCAATGCTCCAATGCACACAAACAGGGATTTCCTGTAGATCCCCCATAAAG